GCTGCAACATCGATATATCATGGCATTCAAGTTTCATCATTTACAAGTTTGACGTCCATTTCGAGGTACTGACACTCAAAAATGTGTTTCCATGCATGTAATAAATAGAATTATGATCATATCTTGACATTCATTTGTGAATTTTAATTAATTTGATGATCATTCTCTCGCTCTTAACGATGAAGTTTCAACATAAACTTTAATTTGTTCCATTCAGTTATTTCTATTTATAACAGAGACAAATAGTTTCAATTCACTAACCCACAAGTAAAATACTTCTACCAGTACTATTATTACTACTTTTACTATACCTTCTCTGATCACTCTCTCTCTCTCTCTCTATAGGGTCTTTAATTGTTTCCTTTTTACTAGTTAACCAATGGAACAATAATTTTGGTTACTTCATTCTCAGTTGGTTTTGGTTTAGATTTACTTTGTGCTTGAAGACAGGCCAATTACCATGGTAATTTGGACTGACAAAGACCATCAAACAAGAGAGAATAATTTCTTTTTCAAATTTCCTACAGCTTTACATGCTGCAGTAGTAGACTTTCTAACAGAGATCTCAATCTTCAATGGACCTTTTGGGGCCCCACATATTTGTTTCTCCTCTCCTCCACTCGCAGGATGGAGGATAAATTGAATACCACAGCGATGGAAATTATTGCATACACGACTCTTGAACTCGTCTTCCAATCTGGAACAGCAACAACTGGTCTGACATTAATGAGACAGATGATGATGATGGATCAAATGCCGTGTTGATGATAGGGTTGAAGCTTCTTCAGTTGGGCCGGGCTAACAAAAAAAAGCAACTGACCCCCACACCTGCAGCTTATTACTAATTATAGGCTACATTGCTAGGTTGGGTTGTGTTAAAAGTTAGCATTTAGAAATATAACTAGTATTTAAGATATGGGTTGGATTAGGGCTGACTGGTCCCTCACTCAACCATGATCACTTTGTGTTTGGATGTATAACAACCGGTTAATTTGATGATGAAATTGTTCACCCCACTTGAACTTGTTCAACATAAAGAAAAAAAAAAAAAAGCTAGCTCTGGAATATAATATAATTGTGAAAAGCAACTTTAGTTTATTTGATTGGTTCACAATTTTGAATTACGTACAGAACCCATACTCCATACTCCATAAAGTTGAAACAAGTCATAACTTACTATATCAGGTTGTGGAACTGGAACATGAGAAGAAGGGTGAGTGTGTGACCCGACTCGGTCGTTTTCCCGGTGAGGCGGTGAGGAGTGAGTGACGACGACTCCAAAGTCCAAACATGGAAACGGGGCGGTGGGCAGGGGTGTGCTGGTCTAGTTAGTACACAACAACTACGTAGTAATGGTGGGGTCTTGCTCCAACCCAACGGGCCAGCGGCTCTTGCCTCCAGTCCATTATCCATATCATGCATGGTTGGTGCTCGATCGATCTGGTTACAATCTGGACCGGATAGCTAAGAGAGAAGCATGCATGAACTGGCCAAGTTGTTTTGAGTATGTATTGACTTGGGACATGGCACATGAACGCCCACTATTTCAATTGCCTCTGATACGATCGAGCAGATCTATATGGGTAGAGTTGACGACACAACACAATACGATAAAAGCATGCATGTTGATTTAATTACTCAACCCTAATTAAGGTGGCAGAATTAGCTCCAACCAACTATATATTCGACCTTTGGCCCCAGTGCCTTTAACTTTTGTTCCACAAGTTTCCCGGCCGGCGAGTCCTTTAACTAACAGTGCAATACAGTTTTCTACATTCCCACATAATAATAATCTAAGTGGGACCATTATGCTTGATTGCATGCCCATCTTGTAGAGAGAGAGAGATGAGTGAATCAGCAAATGTAGTGGGAATGACATGGGTCTATGTATAATAATATATAAATGGATCCCTCATAGCTTTTAAACGGAAGCATGATGTTCCCATTTGCAGACCCAATTCCGCAATTAGAGAGAAAAGAGAGTTGTGAGTGGGGTAAAGGCTTGTCTTGCTTTTAGAAAGTCGGTGCGTTGATGATGATGGATGGCTAGATGCTCTTTCATCATATATACATACTCATAAAATCAAAAGAGGATATATACAGTATAACTCTGACTAGACTTTTGTTGTCCAATACGAAACCATTGGCTTCTTATTAACAGTTCATCAACACCCTCGAAATCTTTTTATCTTTTTTTTAATAAATTTTTTAGGATGATGATGATGAACATATGATGCATATCATATGGTTATAATAATGAACACAAGTAGGAATAGATTGCGTAGACTGCAATTTAAATAATTAATAATAAACATGAAAAAATAAACAAGGGATTAGGAATAGATGTGCAGTGGACAATGTAGACAAAAGTCTTGGTTTCCTTGATTTGGACGGTTGGTATGGACAGGGACGAAGAAAAGCCAAACAAAGCGCACTTCTCATCTTACCAACACGGTCGGCTGGCAGTAAAGACAGGACAACATCCGGCCCCGGGCCCCGGGCCCCGGGCCCCGGCCCATATCATCATCTCATCGCATAACCTTATCTTCTTCAATCTCTCTCTTTCTCCCTCTCAGAGTCTCTCTGGCTTCCGCCAACGCCAACTTCTACGCTCCACAATCGTCCCCCACGGAATCGAATGCCCATCATACCAAATCATTGGTGGGGCCTTAGTGCCTAACCTCTGCCTCTCCTCCTTTCTTTACCCTTTTCTACCCCTTACGTACCTCTTCCACTTGACACGCGTCCACCCACGCCCAACTCCATATCTCTTTGCTTTATGACTTTTATCCTCTACCAGCACAGATTGCCCAGGCCCAGGCCCAGGGGGAGGACTGTCTACATGAGAAGGAGAACCTCCACCTCCACCACCATTAACCTTTGTTATTTCGTTTAATTAATTAATGCCGATTTTTGCTTTATCACTCTGATGACATCGCCCATTTCATTTGATTAATTATGCCCTTACTTTCTTCATATTGCAATTGTTTCCAATCATCCCTTTTATTTATACATTAAAGTGATGAGTTAGGGGAAGGGGTAACCAAAATATTAATTCTCTATTTTTTGATATATATTATTTATTTATTACTGTTGATATACATATATCCACTCCAGTATTCAACTGTGTGTCAAAGTCAATGACCATCTGTTTGCTTTTGATACTTGTCGACAAAGATTTGGATAATCCTTCCTTAAACTTTCTCTTCATCTCTCATCACGAACTTCTCCCTTCCTCTTACTTTTCCAGAAAATCAAATAAACTAAATCAATTTATAGTTTCAAAATTCATTAGTTGTCAAACATGTACATAAGTAAGTGGGGGCACCAGAATTCTAGTGCATACATCAATCAAATTGCTGATGCTATACGTGGCCAGCCAAACCAGCTCAATGATCAACACTACTTCTCAGTTCATGGACCACCATTTATTTGACCCGAAAAGGTTTAATTACAGATTAGAGGATATCGGTTCTATGGCTCCAAATTAATATATAGGACCTTAATGCAATGGCCAAGAAAATTAAATGATAGAAATCTATTAATTCCACGTATAGGGTGGCCTTTGGTGTTGTAATTAAACACCAATAAAACACAGCTATAAATGATAGAAATCCATTAATTCTGAGAAGTTCATGGCCCCCCAATAAAACACAGACACCCCAGCTATCAAATGAACAGAAAAGTCACTCGAGTATTTTAAATTTGACAAAGGTACTGCATGCCATGTTCGTATCTTATTGGAGGCTTACAAAAAAAAAAAAAAAATTCTGCAACCATGGCCATAGGAGATTTTTTTTTTCTCCCTCCCTTTTATATATAGCAGTAACTCCAATTTAATTAGTACAATACTCAAAGAAACATGACAAATTAAAACTGATCAGTACTGACTTGACAGTCGGAGCTATAGTTAGGCATGCAGCTGCTGGGTGTGGTGGAGCGGGCGGGCATTGATTCTTGAAACCCAAACCCACCTGGTCCGTGAGCGTGGGCAGGGTGTGGACCATGATCACTTTCACCTTAATTATGGGTTGCACTTTGCGTCATCAATCTTGTCTAGAAAACTGATGTTGAGGTGGATCGATATTGTTTGTTGAGATGGATCGATATTGTTACTTTCATGTAATAAATAAATAAGAAAAAATGGTGTTGGATATAGGTGACCTAAAATTAAAATGAGTATAGCCGACAAAACCATTATTGAATTTGAATGGATGTGTTCAGACACACACATGCACTTCCTAGTAGTAGTGGTCCAAAACACTCTACATCAACTTTCTAGTTAAGCAAAGATCTGGATTCTTGTGAATGAATTATAACTCTCTCAACTCTAACTCATTTGGTGTCTTCCACCTACTTTTCTCTTTTCCATTCTTTTTATCTTTTCTTACAACAACAAATTAACATACAGAAAACTAGAGCATTAAAATCCTCTCTCTGGACTCTACCATTACATGCACCTACCGATTACTTCTGAATATATAGTTAAATAGAAAGCAACCCAAATTGTATCTGGTGATATTTAGTAGCTAGGTTAATCAATTGAGACAAATTAACCTAGTAAATTAGCACCATGTATTGTAGGTGATGCAAAGGGCACACGCACACCGACCAGGTAGCGAAACAATATATATATATATATATATATATATATATATAGTGAAAATAATACCCCGTAAAGTGGTTACAGCATACGCTAAGCAAAGGAAAAGTTGCAGCATAATTGTCCACATGTAAAGTTAAAAAGGACAAAAAAAGAACACGAAAAGAGATGTAATAGTTAATAAGGTACGTGGGTGCGGAGTGGATGGTGTAAGCGAGGACGAATCATTCTCTTGATGTGGTTCTTTGTAGTGTATACTGTGGTGCATCCACTCACATCATGTGAATCCACGTATTCATCATTTCACCCATTCTATACATGTGTAGAGAGAGAGAGAGAGAGAGAGAGTTATTGCTTGTTAATTTGTTTGTTAGAGACTGGGACCAATAATAATAGTAGTAGTGGGGTTCTCATGGTCAACCTATGTAGAGAGAGAGACATGGGGATTTTCATAATTTCTCACGCCAGATTCGTTTCTCTACTCATTCATTCCTTTGATTAATAATCATCGTAGCCACCCACCACCTCCCAAAGTCTTCATTCTTTTTCAGTTTTTCTCGTCCTCCTCCTCCGTCTCCGTTCCTTACAAGAGGATCGACACAACTCAGACAAAAGTCCATATTTCTACCGGTGCCGTGTTTGATTGAAATCGATCCAACAACATGGGGTTTGAGGAGGATCTGTGCAACACGGGGCTTGGTCTAGGTTTGGGCTGCGAAGGTAAGCCTGCTGAGACACGACCGAGGTCTACTGATCATCGAAGGAATAAACCATGCTTGAACTTTGACAACTTATTCTTATCCTCCTCCACTACGTCAATGGCAATAACCAGCGATGAGCCGTCTCTAACGTTAAGCCTTTCGGACGAGAAATATCAAGCCGTGAAGATCGACGTGAACAAGGCTTGTGACAATTCGGCCACCGATGTGTGCCGGCAAACTTCTCCTCATAGTGGTATCTCATCTTTTTCCAACGCTAGCGTCAAGAAGGAGAGGGATCTGGGGAATGAAGAATTGGAGGTAGAGAAGGTGTCTTCCAGGGCCAGCGATGAAGATGAAGAGGGTAGTGCAAGGAAGAAACTTAGGCTTACCAAAGAACAATCTGCCCTCTTAGAGGACAGCTTTAAAGAGCACAGTACTCTCAATCCGGTAGTACTCTATTTTTTTTTTTTCTTTTTTAGGTCTTAATTAACCCTTTTATCATGTTACTATATTACTACTTTCAATAGGTTATTTCTTCTTTTTTTTTTTCCTAATGCTATTTTTCTTCTTTTTCGGGAAATATCAGAAGCAAAAGCAAGCCTTAGCGAAACAATTGAACCTGCGGCCTCGACAAGTGGAAGTTTGGTTCCAAAACAGAAGAGCCAGGTCTGCTTCTTAGTCCTTGTCGTAGAAAATTAACAGGAAAAATAGTTTTTTCTCTCTTGGATATTTTTGTTGGTTTATGTGTTAAAAAATAGTCTACATCTGAACTGGTATAAATAAATCAACTTGTTGATGTTATTATCGATCGCTTCTTATAACAGGACAAAGCTGAAGCAAACGGAAGTAGACTGTGAATTCTTGAAGAAATGCTGTGAAACGCTCACAGATGAGAACAGGAGATTACAGAAGGAGCTACAAGAGCTAAAAGCTTTGAAGCTAGCGCAGCCTCTATACATGCAGCTGCCGGCGGCCACGCTCACCATGTGCCCATCATGCGAGAGGATCGGCGGCATCACCAGCGATGGATCCACTAAGACTTCATTTGCGATGGCACCCAAACCTCATTTCTTTAATCCCTTCACCCACCCATCTGCAGCTTGTTAGAAGATGAGAAAACGCAGCACTAGTATCACAACCACAATCCCTCGTCTTTTTGTTCAGGGCTTGTATGTCTCGATCTCCAGTTCTTTTTTTTTTCCTTCTTAGGAAAAATTAGTGTCATTAATTGATCTTTTGTAGGAAGAAAGATTAATGGTTAGTAGAAACTAGAAAAAAAAAGTCTCATGTCTCTCTCATGCTCTTGTAAATTGTATCAACAATATTAATTATATCCATGAATAGAAATTTTCCCTTTTGTTCCTCATAATTTTCTGCTTTACATGTTAGTAGTTGAACTGAACGAGTTATTGTTCTTTGTTTGTTTGTTTGGTTGAGAGAGATTGAGAGAAAAAAAAGGAAGGTGATGAGTGATGAGAAGCGTGTGGGGCAAGGAAGGAATTGAGGATTCAAGAAACATGGGAGATGGCGTGAGAGATGCCTCCCCTTTTCAGAAACCGGTGGGTCACGCCCCACGTGATGTCTTCAATGGTTAATGGTTTCCCACTTGCATCTTCCCAAATCCTGCTTCTTGCCCCTCCGGCTTCATTAAAGGGCTCTCCAAGGTCATCCCTTCCGTCATCATCACGCGCGCGCAGACTCACAATATCTAGTCTAGCTTTAGAAATGAGCAATGTTTTCAAAACCGATCCAGTGGTCGAACCGTTTTTGCCTCCGAGTCCTGGGTCATCGGTTCAACTGTTTGGATCGAATGATTCATATAGTTTAGCAATAAATAATGTATATATGTGTTTTAGATATGTTATATATATTATTTTATATTTAATTTATGTTTTAATTTAGTTTTTAATTTATAAAAATATTAAAAATTGTTATTTGAAGCCAAAAAGGGAAGGTGCCTGTGGCACATTGGGATGTATAGATCTCTAAAAGTTATTCAAAATAAAAATAAAAATCACTATAATCAGACATCAGAATACAAAATTTTGGCCTTTAAAAGTTTTGCATGCATTGAATGTACAACATGCGGGGTCACTAGGTCGAACAGGTCAATGGTTGAATTGGCAGAATTAAACGCCTCATGACCAAATCACGATTTTTGACCGACTAACAGATCTTGACTGAATCAAACCCAGAATCCTAATTGGGTAACGATTCAAACGGTTCGACTGGCCAAATCAACGACGTATTGAAAACATTGGAAATTAAAACCAATTAAGCTCCCAAAGACAAGACAGAAGAGGCTTTGCTTGTATCTATTATTTGTTTGTTATTATTACTCAGAGAGCGGAGCAGCGGATGTTTTAACTTACAACTTTACAACCGTCTTGGGGTTGGGGTTAAGGACTTAGGACCACGAGCACGAGCAACGGCATTCCGGTCCTTTACCCCACTTCTTTGGATAGCAGCAAGTCTTCATCAACTACTACCCTTTTTTTAGATTAATTAGTGATGGCAGGAAGACCATCTTTCAAGGCTAACTCCCGGATTCAACCCGGCTCGCCTGAATGTACAAAACAGAATCTTTCAGCCCCCTGATAGCTAGCTTATGGGTCATAGAGTTCGCATTCCTATTTACAAAAGACACTGAGATGTTCAACTTTTGTAAACTATTTCAAATATACTGAACCAGAAAAACAGCATCATTAGCTAAGAAGGCATTTATTTTGTGGACTGCTGTGACCAAGGTTTGACAATCACTTTCGAACACAATCTTTTTCCTTCTAAATAATTCGCCAGCTCCAGGCCTTGAGAAAAGGCTAGGGCCTTACTATTCCCAAAAGAAACTGCAACCTGAAATTTTATGAGCTAGAGTGTGGCGTGGGTTGAATCGGGCCAGACCGTTTTTTTTATTATTTTTATTTCTTTGCTAAGTAAAATTAAAATATTTAATTTTCCTTTGGGAACTATTTGAAAAAATAAGAAATCTAAAAAAAATGAAAAAAAACTTATCCAAATAAGAAGTCAAAGAGACAAAGACTCAAAGTGAATAACAAATTAGAAAAAAAAATAGGAATTTTATTTCATTTAAATTTGAATGATACAAAGCATATAATGGTTGGGTGAATGAAATATGAAAATTGGAAAATGGAATATTAATAAAACATAAAAAATACAATGTAGTTACAAATTGAAAATAAAAAATTATATTATTATAAAATATCAAATAACTTAAATAAAATTAAAACAAAATTCATAATAATTTGAAAAATGCTATACAACTATTAAGTATACAAAAAATATTGACTTCATCATTTTCTCCTATTGTTCTTGATTTTGATCATCTTCTTCAAGTGAAACATCAGGTGTAGTGTCATGCCCTCCTTTGTCTTGCAATCTATCTTTAGCATACAACCAATCTTTAAAGCAGATGCATGTTTCTAAACTTTAATCATTCATACAGCTTCTCTTGTTGTCCAACACTCTAATACCTGCACTAAAACAAGACCTGATGGAATTGTAAACACCGAAGGGGTTAGTAGATTATGTGTCATGGCAGTGAGAACTGGATAATTTTTTTGCATGATCACTCCACCGAGCTAAAATATCAAAAGTATTTGTTCCCTTCGAGGTGAAGGAAAAATCACCTAAAGTAAAAAAAAAAAATGCTTGTAAATAAAAATTAAGTTCAATAAATCAACTTGTTGTCGAGGCAGTGGATTTTGGCCTCTTACTTATTAAATAAAAAAGTTTTTCTCTTCCACTACTGGACTCAAATTCAGAAGTGGAAGATGCAACTGTACAAGTTGTAGAATTTTCATTATTCCATATTGCTTCAAGTTCATATAAACTATACATTTCAAATAATAAACTATTAATTTCTTCTATTTTATTTCCAATTTCAATATCCATATTCTCACAATATGTTTCAATTAAAATATCTAAACCATCTTTCCTAATTCTAGGCTCTAATATTATAGGTATAAGCAATAAAGAGAAGAAATGTTCTCCCAATATTTTTTAAATTTATTTGCCATTATTTCAATAATACTTTTAAATTGTGGTTTCTTTCTATATTTTGCAAAACAATCATTAATCATCATTAATTGATAAGCTAAATTACAACTAGTTGAATAATAAATACCCAATAATTCATTTGTTGCATCATAAAAATGTTTTAAAAAATCTCTTATACAAATTGCCATTTCCCAGTCTTCCTCAAATATAATATTAGTAGGCATTTTTGCATTATAAAACTCACTAAGAATTTGTTTGTGAGAAATACAACTTTCTAACATAGAATAGGTAGAATTTCATTTATGTTTAACATATAATATAAAATGTTTATATTTTAAACCATAATTTTGACATAAATATTTAAATTCTTGTTTTCTTGCTTAGAACTTTTAATATATAATAAAATTTCTAATTTTAGAAATATGAGTAGAAATAATATTTAAAGCATCTTGAATACATAAATATAAGATGTGACATGCACATCTGGTATGAAATAATTTAACATTTAAACATGGTTTTAATTGAGATTTTAAAATATTTATTGTTGAATCATTATTACTACCATTATCAAAACTAATAGAAAATAGTTTATTGTCAACTCCATAAGCATGTAAGGTATTTAAAATACTTGCAGCAATTGTTGGGCCAATATGTGGCCATTCAAGCCTAGTAAAACTTAAAATTCTTTTATTTTAAAAGTCAATTTTTATCAATAAAATGATTGGTAACACAAATATAACTTATGTTAAATTTAGAAGCCCAAATATCATAAGTAATTGCAACTTTAGAATTAAGATTTGATAATGTATAAATTAAATTTTGTTTATATGAATAAAAAATTTTTAAAGCATATGATCTAATAGTATTCCTAGAAAATTTTTTAAATTGTGGATTTACAAAATTACGTAACCATTTTTCAAATTTAGTATCTTTAGCTAACAAAAATGGTTGTTCAGCATGTACAATGTATTTTGCTAATTCTTGCTTCATTTTTTCTTGAGAATATTTAAAAGTACCAAAACCCCCCGCCCAGTTTGTTTCTCTCCCTTCGTCTTCTTCTTCTTCTTCTTCTTCTTCTTTCTCATGGGTGAGCAAATGTTTGCCCAAATGGCCAGTACCACCCTTGCTACAATAGTTGAAGTCTTCCTACATTTTGGCAAACAACTCTTTTTCCCTTTCCTGAACCTCCTCATCTTTAAATATTTTTCAAACCGGGCTAATCAACTTAGTGACCTTTTTATTTTCCCTATTATCAGTAATAGGGGTGGTGGTTCCATCAATATCATAGCATCCATATCGGTGCTAACACTACCATGCTGTGACTAAATCTCATCGACATTGAGCATGTTGGGGAATTGGTTTTAGGAGGAGTTGACCATTTTTTAATTCTAAAAAAATAAAAATTAATTTAATTGCATTTACCTAGATTGCTAGTTCAGAATCCCAACTTGATTTCAATAGTTGAAGGCTTTCAACTCCAGGAACCCAACCCTCCCAAATTGCTAACTTGAGATGCTTGAGCTGTTGAATAAGTCTTCTTCTTGTTGGAACTTTAATAAAGTTGAGAATTGGAGAATCAGAGAATGTATGAGAGATTGAGATTTGAGAGAGTATGAGAATTAGAGAAAAGATTAAGAGAATTGTAGAATTGGTGCGATAAGAATGGTGGAGGATAAGGCTATTTATAGGATTGAAAATAATTTAATTACCCAAAATACACTAAAAACTAGTTGTTAGGAGGGGTATTTTAATTATTGTAAAGTTATTTATTACTTTACCCAAAATGCCCCCCAAACTAACTGTTTATATAGTTGTTGGGGGCATCTGTGTCATTCTTTCTTCCCTCCCAAAACCATAATACATAAATACTCTCCCTATATAGTTGTTGGGGGCTATTTCTGTAAAAAAAACCTCAAAAAGCTAAAACTAGCTGTTGGGGACCCCTAACAGCTAATTCATCGGGCTGGCCAAGCGTGACCCACTACGGGCCCGCGGGCCATGCCATGCCATACTGCATACTGTGCCGGATCATTGACCTGGGAACTCAGGCCCAGCATGGTCCGGGCCATCGTGCCAGGCTGGTCCACACGGACAATTAATCCATGAATTTGGTTAAAAATGTGGGCAGTTCTAATCCACCGTCAGTCGGTCATTTGGAGGACTAGTACTGCCCACTTTATATAGGTTTTTTGTGCCCGTTTGGGAGGGATTTCACCACTGTGGCCTCTTGTGGTTCAAGTTACATAGTTTTTACTTTCTACTTTCTACTCAGAAAACTGTGAGACCATGGTCATAGATTGAAAAGCCCAAAAATGCTTACGTTGAGCTGTGAAATTAACTTTTAGG